TGTGGTAGAGAAAGTGTGGAGTAAAGAGAAGCCAGTTAATAAAAAGGCTGCAACGCCAGAAGAAGCTCTGTTGCAGGAGTTAGACCATTTGAAAATTCCAACAACTTTTGCACAACTCACGGCTATTTCACCAACCTACACGGAGCAAATAATTGCAAAACTTCAGAACCGACTCCCAGGAAAAAGCAGTACAACCTATATCACTACAGAAGCTACAAAAGTCTCAGCAGCCATGACCACTCCGGAAATAGAAGATCCCTCGGACCCTTGCTACTATAGCTGCGCCCTAGGATACGTAACAGCCGAAGTTGGGGGAGCTAGCGTGGAATTTATGGTCGATTCAGGATCCATGGTAAACGTTATGCCTCGATCAGTAGCAGAAGACCTGGATTTGGAACTAGTACAAGTAGATATACCAATGAAAGGAGTTGGGGGAGCAAGATGCGACTTAAATGGAGTAGCTGAAAATTGCCCAATCGGAATTGGAAGATTCTCCGGACCAGCACACCTGTTTGTTTCACCCAAGGCTCAGGACTGTATTTTAGGACGACCATTCTTATTTGACTATGGATGCACTCTGGAATATCATGAAAATGGTGAAACTCTGTCTTTCCAAGGAACAAAGGGACGAAGGGTATCAGTACCATTAGCAAGAACGGGCCAAGGAAGAGGATGGAACAACAAGAAAGATCTCAGTACCAACAGTATGAAGATGCAGGACGGGAATATACGACCGAACGAAGACAATCGAATGTTCAAGAATTCTTCAAAGCAGTCTTTTTTATGAATTCCGGTGTTCAACTAAGGGATTACTCACTTAAGCTAGTCAAGCGAGTCATATCCAGAACACCGGGTTTTCTAGACTGGCTCAAAACTTTTCTTTTGGATTTATTTAGAAAACTACCAAAACTAACAAAAAGATATTTCGCAAAGGTAATGTTATTAAAAAAGAACATTCTGATTATTTTTCTTCTACTTTTGAAAATTTGTAAAACAGAAACAGCACGATTATGGCATACTACGACTAACCAAGGATCAGCTTTGGCGAGGAAAAATGGAACTCCGACGTTAGAGGAAGTGAAACCAGTCCTGGAAGCCAATTCAACCAAAACAGTATCAGGACCAGTACGACGGAATCAGGAAAGAATCACGGATAATCTACTTACGGAAGGTTTAGGTTTGACCTTTCAGACAAAGCTGTGTGAAAGTTGGCGGGAAGGAAATCTGTGGTGTATGACAAAGTATAAACCGGTTGGGAAGAAAGTTCGACCAATTAATCAACCACTTCCACAGCTATTAAATCCACCACTAAAGCGACCACCTCTATCTCGAGACCCATATAAAACTCCGCTTACTCCGCATCCACCAGAATTCACACCTACCAATAAAATCACTGAAGAGCGCTTAAAGGTTGTTAATTTTGGACCGGAAGGATGGCTTTGGAAAGAGGAACTCAAATTGTTTAAGCACGTCATTGTTATCCGAGAAAAAGCTTTGGCATTCTGTATGGAAGAACGAGGACTTTTGAAACACTCTTACGGACTACCTTACGTGATACCAGTCATTGATCATATACCGTGGCAGAAGAAACCAATACCAATACCAGCTGCTATTAAGGATGATTACGTGGAACTAGTGCGAGAACGAATACGGACCGGCTTATACAAGCAATCCACTTCCAGCTACTCTAGTCCAGTTTTTTGCGTTGCAAAGCATGATGGAAAATTACGGATTGTGCACGATTTACAGGAAATGAACCGAGTAACCATCAAGGATGCAGGATTACCACCAGCAACAGAAGAATTTGTAGAAGCCTTTGCTGGACGAGCCTGTTATGGATTAGGAGATATTATGGGAGGATACGACGAACGAGAATTGGAGGAAGAATCAAGGCCTTTAACCACTTTCGATACACCTTTGGGAAGATTTCAACTAACCAGACTTCCTCAAGGGGCCACAAACTCGGTTGCAGTCTATCAAGCTCAAATGATGTGGATTCTTCAAGACGAAATTCCAGAATATGTTGGCGTATTTATTGACGATGGTGGAATAAAAGGACCTCGATCAACTTACAACAATGAAGTTTTGGAAGAAAACCCGGGAATTCGAAGATTCATCTGGGAATATGCTCAAACTTTGGAGAGAGTACTTTTTAGGATTGAAGAAGCCGGACTCACTATATCTGGAAAGAAGTTTGCTTGCTGCGTACCTGCATTGGATATTGTTGGACACGTGGTCAGCAAAGAAGGACGCAAAGTTTCAGTACAGAAGAAAAACAAAATCACCACATGGCCAACTCCAAACAGTCTCACTGAGCTACGAGGATTTATGGGAATAGTCACTTACGTCCGCATTTTTGTAAAAGACCTAGCGGAAATTGCGGCACCTCTACGGAAACTCACACGGAAAGACATTAGTTTTGCATGGTCTGGGGAATGTAATGAAGCATTTAACAAACTCAAACAAATAATTGGGGAAGATATCACCTTGAAAAATCTGGACTATTCGGAAGGCGCAGGACTAATTGTGCTAGCGGTGGATTCAAGTTTCATTGCAGCAGGAGCAGTTTTGGCCCAACAAGAACTAGAGACAGGATTGAATAGACCGGTGTTATACGAGTCAATAGTGTTTTCACCCGTGGAATCCAAATATTCTCAGCCCAAATTGGAGTTATGCGGAGTCTCTCGAATTCTCAAGAAACTACAAACACTTCTTTGGGGTCAACATTTCGAATTACAAGTTGACGCGCAATCACTTATTCAAATGATCAACTCACCGTCACTCCCAAATGCACCAATGACACGCTGGGTGGCCTTTATCCAACTCTTCTCGTTTGACATAGTACATAAGCCAGGAAAAACATTTACTTTACCGGACGCTTTATCCAGAAGACCTATCAGTGACGAAGAGGACGAATTCTATGAAGATCAGCCAGACTTTGATGAAGATGAGCCAGTGATACGAGCAACTTACCAGTTCCGGACATTTTCAATATCAGAAGAACTTTTGGAATGGGAAGCCCCTGGATTTTGGATGGATCTCAAGAATTACTTAAGCACGATGAAACGGCCAACAGGCATGGATCCTGAAGAATACCGGTCAATAAAGCGGAAATCAGTTAACTTCTTTATCCAAGATGGACGACTCATGCGGCGACACTCACCCATGGCTCAACTAGTTATCTCCAACATTTCTTACCAAAGCAAACTCTTGAGAAAAGTTCATGAAGAATTGGGACACAGAGGATTGGAGGAAACTTATCAACGACTAGTTTGCAGATTTTGGTGGCCCAGTTTGAAGAAGAAAACAAAGTTGTGGGTTCAAAGTTGCGAGGCCTGTCAGAAAAGAGATGCTTTAGTACCTAGAGAAATCAGGGACCCAACCGGGGCAACAACTCTATTTGGACGAGTGGCTTTGGACGTTTGCCATATCAAAGCTGGACGGTATAAATATTTAATAATTGCTAGAGACGACTTATCGGGATGGGCAGAAGCAGCACCATTGGTCAAATTAACAGCATCCACTATTGCTAAATTCCTTCTAGAAGACTGGGTGTATCGATACGGAGCGATCAAGACAGTTACGGTAGACAATGGGCCAGAATTCAAGAACGAGTTTATTACGGCAGTGGAAAGCATTGGAGCCAAATTCAAACCAACTACGCCATACTACCCTGAAGCAAATGGAATGATTGAAAGAGGCCACAGGGCAATCAAAGATACATTAGTAAAAATGTGTGGCGAATCAGGCGGAAAATGGAGGGAATATTTACCTCTAGTGTTATTCTCAGACAGAATCTCAACAAAAAGGACTACTGGATATTCTCCGTACGAGCTGATGTTTGGACAGAAGGCAGTTTTACCTGTGGATATCGAAATGGACACCTACCTGGGAATTGATTGGACGGAAATCAGTACTACAGCAGAACTTCTGGAAGCAAGGACAAAACAATTGGAAAGACGAGACGAGATTTTGGACATAGCTCACCACAAAATGATGGAAACTCGAGAGAATTCAGTTCGGTTCTGGGATCGGAAAATGGCGGCTAGATTACGACAACCACTCCAACCCGGGGACCTAGTTTTAACTTACAACAAGAGTCTAGAGGATCAGTGGGGAAAATTGTTTGAAAATAGGTGGAATGGACCATTTAAAGTCAAGAAACAACTGAACGGAGGATCTTATATACTCGAGGAACTAGACGGAGTTGAACTAAAAAGGGCTTATGCGGCATCTCACATCAAGAGGTTTTACCCACGAGGACGGCCTTTATCAGACATTCGGGACGAAGAAGGCTCACATTCAGACTCGGATCATAGCTCAGAAGAGAGCTCCGACGGGGATTCTAACACTTCAGAATAAGAACATTTTTTTCATATCTTTCTCTGAATTTCTTTTCTGTATTTCTAAGTCAGTTTTTTAGTTATCTTATCAAATAAACATGAAAATTTGAAGATAAAAAGATAAATAAGCATCATCAAAAAAAAAAAAAAAAAAAAAAAAAAAAAAAAAAAGGATGAAAAGACACAAAAGATAAAAACATACCAATTCCAGCCAAATTTTATAAGTTGGGGGAGAAAAGTCCATAAGTATAGTCTGTTATCTCTTTTCTTTTTTCTCCTTTTCTTTATTTCTTTCTTCAAACTCATTTTCTTCAAAAAGATTTCTTCACTCTTACTCACTAAAATCAGCCATGGTTGGGGACAACCATCAAAGTTGGGGGAGGGGGTCTGGTCAATCAATTAGAAAAATTAAAAATTTATTTACTTGAAAAGAAAAGATCAAGAAAAGAAGGAAAAAGTAATAACTAATAATAACTGGAGGAGGAGTAGTCAGGGATAAAAGAGGATACAAAAGTTTTTTTTGAGGTTTAAAGAAGTTTTTGAATTTTTTGTAGTTCCTTTTTATCTTTTACAAAAATTTTTTTTTGGGATTTGAATTTTAGGTACAAGAGAAAAAAAAAAAAAGAAGAAGAAAAAAAAAAAAAGAAAAAACAATACTCAGAAGTTACGGGTCGACAAGTAGGTGGACTTCTTGCATTTGAAGTGCCATTGCATGTTCTCAAAGAACATAACACGGCGGTCAAACTCATTCAAGGTGTTAGGAGGGAAATCATCACACAACCAAACAAACTCGGGGGCGATACCTTCAAAGATACGCATCACATCTTCTTCGGTATATAAGCAGGTGGCTTCTGGCGGCGGATTTTTCTTGGAGAGCAGGCCCTGGACGGATTGGTGGTCGAGGTGAAGGAACTCGGAGAGCGGAGGATAGGTCGACGCATCAGAGGCGGAGGACGAGGCCGAAGCTGGATGAGCACCAGGAGCATGCGACTGGAGGTTGGCGGCCACGTGCGGATTAACAGCCGGAAGGACGAGTCCAGGCGGCGGGTTTTGAAACTACAGAAGAAGACAACATCAAAAGTCAGGATCAGTAGCCTGAAGACAACAAGGAGAAGATGAAGAAAAGACATGGACGTACCACGGGGTCACAGCACACAGGCATGTTGCAGAATGGATGAGGATCGATAAACCCTCGAGGAACAGGGACTTCATCCGGAATCGAGGACTAGAAGTAGGTTGAAGTTAGCCAAGTAGGAAGACAGGAGGCGACAAATCAAGACAGAGACGTACCAAATCAAACTTCCCGGCCGGATCGTAGAGGCTTTGCCACTTTTCCTTTTGAGGAAGGAAGTGGGTACCAGTCTGGATGAGCTCCATCCCTTAAGGAAGGGGGATGGGAGCTGGGAAGGCCTTGATCGGCGGAGGACAAGAGAAGTCGGGAGTGTTGTCGAGGACGGTCTGGCGACAGAGGAACGTCACTACAAGATACTTGTTGAGGTGTCTGATAGTCTGCTACCATGATGTATCACTACATGTCGAACCATGAGCACTACCACCCAACAACCCTGGCAGTCACAAGCGTCTGTAGCCTAGTTGGTAAAGGCAGCACTCTAGTATGTGTCTCAGCTTAGCTGAGGTCGTGAGTTCGACTCTCACCAGACACATCTTCATTTTGTCTGTCTCTACAGGTTATGAGCCCAGAGCCTACCTAAGCGCAACCCGCTTACAACAGAGACCAGATGAGGTTGTGAATGCTTACTTGTAAGACCAAAAACTTCCCCTGTAAGACTACCTAAGGTCACGGGTTCAATTCCCACTCTGATCATGATTTGTTGGGTCTCATTCCCACTTCCACATGATGTATCACTACATGTCGAACCATGAGCACTACCACCCAACAACCCTGGCAGTCACAAGCGTCTGTAGCCTAGTTGGTAAAGGCAGCACTCTAGTATGTGTCTCAGCTTAGCTGAGGTCGTGAGTTCGACTCTCACCAGACACATCTTCATTTTGTCTGTCTCTACAATACTAGATTCAAAAGCTAGAAAGTCAAGACTTACCGCTTCCATATCGGTATCGTGATCAGCCATCGAATCGACCGGGGCGTTAGCGGCCATGCCAGCCTAGAACAAGAAGGAAAAGAGAGTAGCAGGCATCAACAAAAGCTCAGACTTGAGAACAGCGATGAGGATGAAAAGAATAACTCACCGGCTCAACACCAGGATCAGTCATCGGATTGACAGGGATGTCCGCGGCACGAGGGGTCTATACCAAACATAACAAGAGAAGCCCAATCAGGAAGGCTAGTCATCAACAGACGAGTAAGAGAAAAACTCACCTCAGCGTTGGGTACAAAGAGCGGGCTCCAATTGCCGCGCTCGGGGTAGTAACGGATACCATTCTGGACAACCGAGGTCTGAAGGGATAGAAGTCGCTTTGATCAGCAGCTGACAACCAATAAGACGAGCAGATCATTTAGGACTTACATCGATGTCCGTGGAGCGAGGAGTCTGTATCAACAACCAGAAGGCAAATGAGCAAACTATTCAGAAGAAGAAAGAAGATAAGCACACCTAGAGGACGAAATAAATCAACTCACCTCAGCCTTAGGTACAAAGAGCGGACTCCACTCGCCGCGCTCAGGGTAGATGCGGTACCCGTCCTGAACATACGATATCTAGAAACGAGGACGGTGTCAGTAACTAGCAATCGATAAGGATTAAAGTCAAGAATTAACTATGACTTACTTCCTTGGCTGGAGTGGGATTAGAGATAGTTTGGTAACCCTGAGGAGCAGGGATCTCGACCGGTGTTGACGAAGCTGAAGAAGGGACGTTAGAGTTATTGGAAGACATAGTGATAGCAGGGGCAAGGTGACAGAGCACGGCTTGGGATACGATGTGGAGGAAGTACTGAAGGTTGGAATGGAAGTTGATGTAGTTAGCTGGGGTCCCCAGCTAGAACTGATGAGGAAAGATCGGAAACACGGAGGCGAGGCCGGTATTTATGGACGAGACGATGGCGCTTGCGAAGGTATCGAGAGGATCAAAGAAAAACCAAGGAGGTTTCCAGTGTGAAGGAGGCATTGTGGGGAGAAAGGACTAGCGCGCAGAGGTAGCGGTATCGGTCGATCAAAACGTAGTGGGGCTGAATTGTCAAAACAACGACGGTGGTGTCCTCGATCCTAGATGACACTAAGAAAGGATCACATCAAAATGAAAGTCAGACGGGTTGAGAACTAAAATGCAAGCGCGGCGACGATACCAGATGGATAAACGAATTAGAAGAAAGAGGAAGGACGTACCAGCAGCAACAAGAGCACGAATTCTCCGAGGCCAAAGCTAGTGGCGGCGGAAGGTTGGTGACCTGTCAAGTGGGGTAGTCATCGTTCGAGTCATGAGCCTGTCAGCTGCATAGAGGAAAAAGTGACTAGAAGAAAAGAAAAAGGAACTTTACTTACTTGTCCAGATGGATAAACCATCGGTCGAGTTGCGAGGTGAATTCGAAGCGGACAGAAGCAAAGTCGAGATTCAGTCAAAGTATCGTTCGAGGCGTTTTGCTGGGATCAAACTCGAGATAGAGCAAAACGGGGAGGACGAGTCGTGCCAGAATCGAATCTAGAGGCGGGGAAGTGACCAAATCGAATTTCAGATGGAGTGGCGGATCGTTCGAGTGGCGACTAAATCGGACAGGTGGCGCAATAGAATCGAAGTAGGACGGCTTGACTGAGAGGAAGAAGATACCCACGGAGAGAGGGCACACCTTCGCCGATCGGACCGGGACCCTGTCACACCTGTGACAGGGCTAATACATGCTAGCTACAGCGCGAATGTCTGGTATTCCAAACCAAGCATGCCTCCAACCGTACCTCTCACCACGGTCATTTGGGTGTCGCCCCGGATGTAACCGTCACCTTGACGAATCCGCGTGCGTGACTGCGGCAGTAGGCGCAGTCACTGCGCACGAAACCCCCAATGAAACCCCCAGATGTCGCTCCGCGCGGGAGCGACATGCAATTGTCCGTGGTGTCTAGTCGAGTTGGTAAGGGCCTCATCACCATTGTGAGCCCTGGGTTCAAGCCCTACCCTCACCACCATCAAATCTTGGACTCTATAAAGTCTGGTTGTTTTTGAGCTGTCAGCTGGATTTTTCAGACATCAATCTTAAGTTTTTTTTCTCCAAAACTATATGTACCACAGCACAAAAAGTATTTTTTGCTGAGGACTCAAGTTCAAACCCAGTACTTGATGAAAATAAAATAAAATAAAAACAAAAACAAAATAAAATAAATAAAACAAGACAAAAACATTTTCTCTACTACAATCAAAAAAGTTGGACAAATAAACAAGTTCTCCGGCTGTAAGATTCATGTACAATACTTGACAAACAAATTCACCACCGGTCAAATCCATAAGTTCTCTGGACGCACGCCTTGTCAAAACTCGGGGACACAAATTCATCATCAACTCAACACCCCTCAAGCCAATCAGACACACGCAAGGCCAGGCTCTTTCAATTTTTTTTCTGTAGATATAACTCCAAAACACAGTCAAAGTCAGAATTGACTGGGGACAGTCAATAAGTTGGGGGAGGATGTGGTAATTATTCCTGTGTTTCTACGCTAAAAATATAAAAATTTATTCTCATCTTTTTCTACATCAGATATAAGGTAAAATAAACATCAAAAATGGATTCCTGAGGTAAAATAACCCCTAGTCACCCACTACAACTACCCCCTTATCTCTATTAGTTCAGAAGTTACACTTATCTCAAGCTGTCACAGGAGCTTTTCTTTATTATTATCCTGACCACGTCTCATTTTGAATACTGGATGCATATTGAATTCCTTTGTTTCATATTGAATTCCTTTACTGGCTTATATTTCATATTGAATTCCTTTGTAGGTGCATATGCATTCCTTTGTAGTAGGACCTTGTAGGCTAGCCAAAATCCCTCAAGGCAGTGCTCTCACCAGCCAAATTCCCTCACCTGCATGTATTAGACTAGCTAAATTCCCTCATATGAGAGTTTTCAGGCCAGCCAAATTCCCTCAGATGCATG